GGGGGGGGGGGGGGGGGGGAATGGGAGAGGAGATTACAAGTCGGGAAAAAAGCTACCGTGAAGTTGAGGTCAGACAAGTTTAGATGGTAATTTATGTATTTTTCCTTTAAGTTTCTTTACTTTAATTCAACTTACAGGGCTGCTTATCGGGCGAATCAGGGCTGCTTATCGGGCGAATCAGTTGGACATTTACACTTAACAATTTGACTTATCAGTTATCAATTTTTAAATGTGCTGGACATTTACACTTAACAATTTGACTTATCAATTATCAATTTTTAAATGTGCTAATCTACTAGTCAACTGATAAAATATCAGTTTATTCGATATCAGTTTAGAGGTTATCAGCCGGTTATCGATCAAATAAATATTACAAGCAGGTGAAGACTAGTCCAGTCATCACTTATGAAACAAAAACAAAGATCAAAGACTAGCTTTTTAATGTCACAAATCTATTGGTTGAGTTTTAACTTAGGCCAGGTTGATGTACATTCTTCCCCTTGCATATAAAGCAAAGAAGTTAAACACCAGAAAATTATCTGAAAGCCAAAAGACCAACGTATTCATATTTTCAACCATGCAAAGGTCAACAAGAGAGCTAAACAAGAGGAAACATCTTCAATCAACCATCTAATTTTACAACCAAAATTCACAGATGAACATGAGTTTTCTATCATGGTTGCTGCTTTTAAAAAAATATCATAACAAGTGATACAACTCAAGAATTTCAATATGCATAGAAGTAGATTACTTGAGTTTGGGATTTCTAAAAGATACTCTGAAATATATGTGTAATAATTCTTAATGATTAAACCGATAATAAAAATACTACCTCGTATCGATAAACTGTTAACTACTAAATTTTAATATGTTCACTAATAGTAATAACCCGTGTCATAAATTTTTATTGTGTTTAAGGAGTTTGTTTGGACGTGAATATTTTTTACAATGAGAAAAGGGATTGGATTTCGTTACCCAAAAGTGTAGGAAGGGGGGGGGTGGAATGTATTTCTTAGTTGGTCGAAGTTCAGAACATGTCTTTGACTAGTCCAGCTATAATGAACAACATGTTGATTCTTCTCCAGCTGCGACACCAGTCACCCCATGTGCAACCTTTGGCGGTGGCAAATCAAATGTTGGTGCTGGGGCGTACATTCACCGGAACTCTACACAAAGATCTCGCACACGCCATTTAATTTAGTTTCTCTTTTAAGCGAAGAACAGCACTTGTATTCTACTCATAAAAATGAAACTCTAGACCTACAATTTTTTCTTTTTTGTTAGAATAATGTGGGATCCGGTATGGGCGAGGCAAAAAGGGGCCCAATGCGATGTTACTTCCCTCTATTTCATTTTTTTTATAGGATCGACTCTCTTACATATTAGTCTATCGGAAACAACCTCCCTATCTTTATAAGGTAGTGGTAAGGTCTACGCACACACTACCCTCCCCAGACTCCTTTTATGGGAATACAGTGGGTTCGTTGTTGTTGTTGTTCTCTTACAGACCAAAAAAACAAGTTATAGGGTAAATGTGTAGAATAGTATTGAGTAAATGTTTGATCATTTAAAAGTTGCGTGAAGCTTAAAAGTGTTTTGATGTTTGATTTGTATGAATGGTAAAAGCATGACGAAACTTTAATATAATAGTAAAAGTTGCCAAGTTTTGAAACATTTAAAAGAGTTGACATAAATTTAGAAAGTGAGGGAGTAACGAATTGCTTTATTTTATAAAGCTATATGTGTTTTATAACAGATTTGCATTTTGCTTAATGTAATTGAGGGCCAGTTGCTCTCTTTTTCTTCATTCAATGTATTCTCTTTCAATTGCGTGTGAGGTTTCTTTATCATTGAGTGAGACTGAAATTGGATACCGTGTAAACACCACTACATTGGGGAATTTCACCACAAAACTCATCATGTCAACTTTTAAGTTGCTCAACAAAACTACTAAAATAATCAAGTCCAGTAAACCTACAAATTACCAAGATTGCAGTGAATAGAAAATCCTCATGATTTCGTTTAAAGTATTATTCTGCAAGTTCTCGTATAATTTGTCTCACTTCTTATAACATAATAACTATGAAAAGTGCAACCGTAAGCAAATGGCTCCAACCATCCAGGTCTTGGAGGCCAAAAATTACATTAGTACCTTTTGCCTCTAGATTCACTTCTAGAGACCATCAACCCTGAGAGTTTGTTCACCTCATAAAGCAATGCGGCTGAGAACAAGAAGCTGCATTAAGATCCAAAAACACCCAATCAGACCACGCAGTCAGTCCTGTATACATGTTCATGACAAGATGTGACATAACGAACCAATCAATGATCCAAATTCGCCACACCAAAATATTTGGCTCGTTAAAGTTACTACTCTAACAAAAATATATATATATTAAGAGTACAGCATTCTGACAATAACATGTTCACAATTTATTACTGACTTTCCTATTAGATGCAAGAGTCTGCTTGGTGATTCTCTACCATCTTTTATAACCAATCAAGTAGGCAAGCAGTAGAACCTGAGCTCTCCCTCTTAGAACAAATCTAAAGAAACAAAACTGCAAGATGCTTTGGTACACGGTTTATCAAGGAACCACTTACCCATGCTAAGCAGAGGCGGATGTAGTGTGTTAGTTATGGGTTCAATTGAACCCATAACTTTCGACGCGGAGTAGAAATTTATGTGTAAAAATTCATTAAAATTGCAAAAATAATAGATTTGAACCCATAACTTTAAAAATATAATGGGTTCAATGTTAAAAATCTTAAAAGTTGAACCCATAGAGTTTAAATCATGGATCCGCCTCTGATGCTAAGGAGGGATAGAGGGAAAAAAAGGAAAAAGAAAGAACCAATGGACAGACAGTGCAGCAGCAATTGACAGATCTATATGCAATGATAACATTCTTCTTTAATTCTTCAACAGGAAACTCAGGTTTTGATAATATAAAATGCGAACAACTGCCTTGAACCAGCAGAGGGTTTTGCTCAAGTTTTTAAACATAATGCAAATTTCTGTTTCCTTGTTAGGACTAAGCCGATAGGATTTGATTCCTTCCTTGTACTTTCTTGATTCCTCATTAAGAAAAGAGGTTTGTTTCCAGCTAATTAAAACAAATTGATAAGTACTTTCACAGCTAAGTTATTTACAGGAAGACAAGTAAGGTCAAAGTTCTCCAACCTTCCACCTCATTTTATATGAGTTTCTTTGGTTTGGGAGAAAAGCTTGGGGCTTGTTCGCCAGTATTTAAGCACGATTTGAAATTGCATATGCAATTAGAGATGGCAAGATGGGTAATCGGCTAAATAAATACTCCCTCCGCCCCAATTTATGTGGCAGTATTTGACTCGGCACAAAGTTTAAGAAAGAAAGGAAGACTTTTGAAACTCGTGGTCCAAAACAAGCCATAGATATTTGTGGTTGTAAATCATCTTATTAAGGGTTAAAGTAGGAAATTTAAAGTTAAACTGTTTCTAAATAAGGAAGTATACCATTCTTTTTGGGATAGACAAAAAAGGAAACTATGACACGTAAAATGGGACAGAGGGAGTAGTTGTGCATGTGGAATTGAATGACTAGCTTAACAACCCACTTATTACCCATATATTACGGTGATGGAATGCCAATTGATAGATTGGACATTTGTTCAGAAAGGAAGTCAAGCTTGACTCCGCTCATTAACCAATATACAAGCCTAAATTCTTTTGGATCAGCTGTTGATGAGAATGGCAGTCTGACATATGAAAGAAGAGAAGAGTAAAGAGAAAGGAAGGTGGAGATGATAGGTTAGCATCAAAACAGCAATACTGTAAGATCATTGAGGAATAGTAAACATAAATCTCTTTAATAGTGGTAACTAGATGGTAGCTTTTAGTTCATTACCATGTCGTGATGCAGACTCGATGAACAGTGCTAGCAGCAATAAGAGCAACTACCTCTGCAAGTATAACTGCAATGAAACAGACAAATAGAACAGATTAAAAAATTAATTCACCCATACAGCTGCTGTATCTCTTTACTAATGCAGGATATATGCTCCAGAAAACTTAGCATTAATCAGTTAACAAGTGACTTATACATATGGGATTGAATATTAAAATAAAGATGCTAAGGAAAATGTACAATAACTCCAATTCTACATCTAAGAAACTAAAATCTATTTTTACTTGAGCTTAGAATATCAAAGCACATGACAGCATAAGCAAGATGGATGTCAGAAAGTTATTTAGATCTTTAACAGAATTGATCGAAATATGACAATGGATAATTCAAAACATATCCCACTCACCAGCACCCCATCCACTCCTTACACCACATGTTTCTTGATAGTTTCCAATGAACTGCAGAGTAACACCAAGTCAAGCTCAATATCAGAATAGCTTGGTATAAACTGTTCTAGCAAAGCAACATGTGATACTTCAGTATGTGCAGCCATAAAATGCATGACAATCATGAGACTATGTAAAAAACGGTGAAGACTACGGTGGATCTAACAGCAAAATGATACAACAGGAAAGTGAATTGATCTCTAAAACGAAGATTTCTTCCACAAGATGTCAGGGAGGAAAGGTTACTTCTTAATTTCTTCCCTTCAAGTTTGGTCTCCCAACAGCTGAAAACAGAGAGCACATTGAAAATGTGTGCCATCAAGCTCACAGTCACAGTTTAGTATAAAGCTTGTATTTATATTCATAGCTTGTATCTGGTTAACTTGCTGGTGGAGAAAAAAGTAAGCTCCACATACATTTGCAAATGAATAGAACAATTTATACAAGAAGAGCACACATCAAAATGCATACAGCTATATTGTAGAGGAATACAGACATCGTAAATTTTAAGAATTTGATAGACTGGTAATAGTTTAATTGATAACACAGCACTTCTTAATACGAGGAGTAATTTTTCTCACCGTTAGCAGCAAAATGAAGATGAGAGAACTAGTGAACCCTCCAAGAATGGTATACAATTCTGAAGATGCTAATTTCCCTCTATACACTTCTTGCAAAGAGAGTGTTGCGATGAACAGAAGAAAAGAATACAGCATCGAACTACCAGGTCCAGCCATGGACTTCAGGTGCACAAAAGAAAAAAACAATCAGACTGATGAATTGTTTGAAGGAAACACGTCAAAAGAAAAGAAAGAGGTAAGGGTAGCAGTGCTGTAGGAATCCAAAAATAAGCTCCAATTCATTTTTAACTTTCAAGGTATTATCAGGAAAGATTGACATCATGCGAGCTAGAAGCAACCTTAGAGAAAAGCATTGAATAGCACGACTCATTACATTAAACGATTAAAAATATAACAGACAACAATGTACATTAATCCTTATGTTTAAACTAACTTTTATGCTATGTTGCGCGGACTCTCCAAAATGCTACCACACCCGTGTCGGATCCTCCAAAAGTACACTACTTTTGGAGGATCCGGCACGCACCCAGAGATATTTTCTGAGAATCCGAGCAACACGGCTTTTATGGAATTAGTATACTAAGGAAATAGTCAACACAGGAGATGAACTGGTACTGGGTTATGTTCTCCACCCACAAGCAATGTCGTTGAAGTGCATATAATATATTGAAGCTGGGTGATATATTTGATTATCAGTAATTGGGTGATAATATTTGATTATCAGTAATTGAAAAGCTGTATACTGTTAAATACAAAAATGCACGGGAAAAACCACTTAGATGAAAAAGCTCTATCCCGCATTTGCATTTCCTTCACATCCAGCATTTTTGTCGATCATAAGCTTAGCACATTAATGACTACTTTGTGTACTCTCTTTGATTCTTAGTATGTGAGTAGAAGATAAAAGTTCACTAATTACTACACAAAATTAGTTTAGCGAGTAACCTGTAAACTATTATTCAACGTGAATAATTCTGATCAACAGAACATATACTAAAAAGAACAGTTACCGATCAAAATAACAAAAGAGCATTTTGAATGGTTTCTAACAAATTGAAGCATCCCTCTCCTCAGAATTATATTTCTTTAGTTTTAACAATGATTGCGGTCTGGGCTAATGTGCACACACTTCGACAAAACCATCAGGTACTTGCACCTCCCACCAACACAAGTTTCGAATAACTCTGCCTATCAAAGCTTAGGTAGATGGAAAGAATTTACTCAGTGTCGCCTCTGCTGGGATTCGAACCTTTGTTAAAGACATAAAACTTTTTGTCACTTCAACTCTTCGCTAGGTCATCCCCTCGGGGTTACCATCTCTTCACAATTCCGCTTAATTTTAGCCATATTAAATACCAAAGTAGAAAAAATTTCTAACATTGTCACTGATCAAGAAACAAAGTTCCAGCAAAAGGTGAAAACTGAAAAGCATAGAAAGGTGCCAACATTGTTGCAGCTTTAGTGAAGAAAGTGCGGCTAAACACCAAGCATAAAGTAACCCAACTTCAGGGCTTAAGGCGAACCTCAAGCAAGCCTATAACAAAGCTGATTTGTCCACATTAGAGGTACCCATATCATTTGCCACCAACCATTTTGTAACAAAACCATGTTAAAACCAGTTTTATGACATTAACTATCTCTGCCCCGTTCACATTTCAGCAATGCATTATACTGTATCATTGATCTTTAAACTTACTCTCTAAATGAACACAAATTTAACAACCAAAAAACTAGCCAAAACTGCTTCTAGGAAACAGAAACGACCATTTTCATAAACATCTTCACTACACTAAGATATAAGAATTATAAAGAACATCACTTTATCCAGTTTAGAGATAACCACTTTGTTTCCACAAAATCTTTTTCCCAAAACAGCATGACAAAGCACTAACTTCTTGAAATAAACCCTTACATGATCCAATTCAATGCTTGAACCCAGATACCAAACAACAATTACAAAGAGCTAGTAAAATTAAAAAGAAAGCCAGTTTTTCCTTTTCCTAGGTACATTGTAATACCTAATTAATTCAAAAATCATCCTGTAAAACTATAAAAAGGAACTGTAAGAGGATAAAGGGGTTTTGAGAGCTCACCAGAATGTAATTTGAGACTTGGGTTGTGAAACGAAGAGAGCACGCACAAAGTCGGATCGAGATTCGACCGGTTTAAGGAGAGGAGATTGGTAAGTGGAACTGAGCGATTTGTTGGGGGTGAATAAAAGGAAAAGAAGCAGCTCAACGGCGTCGTAAAGTGCTATAATTGTGAATAAATGAGGTACTCCGAAAATAAATTACATAAACTTTGGGTGAATTACTGAATTTTTTCTTAGTTTTGTACCATTTATGCCAAATACTTGAAGTGTAAATCTCTATTAAGTTTATAAGTTTAGGATATTATACAAACTTAATTCAACCTCAACTTATTTGGGACTTAAGCAATTGTTATTGCATACAAACTTAATTCAACAATTCTTAAATTATTCGTTATTGCTTATTTCTCGTATATTTGATTTCTTTTATCCCTAGTCTCTACCTTCAAATAAATATTACTTACATAGATTTTTAATTTAACTGATATAAATAAGTGAAACTAACCTGGATTATCATAACGCTAAATTCAATTGAGGGGAGGAGCATCATTTCCTCTTTTCCCCTTTTCTTTTGAATTTAGTTGTCTTTTTTTATGTTACAGTTTATCTCAAAAGTCAACCTCGATTACACCTGGAACTATTCATATTTAAACTTCTTATTATCTAACTTTATCTTCAAACATGTAGATCGTATTTTAATTCACTCTAAAAATAAGTGAATTTAGAAGGGGGGGGNCATTCATACGCTAAATAATTAGGTGGATACTGTCTCTTAATATGCTCATTCTCGCCAATAAAAATCGAGTATGCAATTTTTTCCAGGTTAAAGTGACATTGTAACAACAGTTAACTGTATTCTGAACCTATTTTCGTAAACTAGAGAGTGAGGTAAATAACTTATAATATGTTAAAATACAATAATAATGTAAATGTTATTTACAATGTCTCTGTATATAACTTACATTATTCCAATGTTACAAACATCTTCTGCGGCATATTTGAAGAGTAAGACCTGTCTCACTAATCATTTGTACTCAAATAAACAAAGAGGTTGAGCTCCAGGATCAACATCCAGCATTTCTACATTTCAGATAAGCAACTCGAGCAATTAAAGCCCTGCGACTTATTGTTGCAATGACTCAGAATGATGCATAGTGTGACCATTTGTGATGGCTCATCCCTACTGCCTTCGGACGAACTGAAAGGCCTCTCTCTTCAACTCCCTCTACCCAATACAATTTTAGCAAAGCCAACGCTGTGCCAAAAAAATGAATCTCCGTAGTTTTTTATTCTGAATCTCCGTGGTCACATTTCTACAGTCCTAGCCTGTGCAGGTTGCTCAACATCCCTTATCTAAGCCGACTGATGTCATGTACTCAGGTGGTCCTCAAACTATTCAAGGTGCAAATTCAGATTATCCCTACTTCAAAAGACACAGTAACTTGAGACAAGGTTCGGGTATCACACAAATGCTACCTTAGCTACTTAGAAGAGTTGACAGTCATATCAGCACATCAGCTTATGCCTCCACAAATCATGCCATTTGTACATCTTAGGTTGAGCTGAGCTGGAATAAGACGCGAAAATTCATCCCTCGGACTGGGAGGTGAATAATGAGAATCCAAGATCCTGTAGAGAAGTCATAACGCACATACCAATTAGCAACACAACCAACAATAAGCATGTCAACTCAGAAAACTAATTCTTGCCATCCCCGTTCTCCCAACCAGCTTTGCAGAAAAATAAGAGTATAGTAACAACAATATGAGGAGTGTCCCAGCCAAGCCGAGGAGCAAAGGGAGAGAAAACATGATAACCTACAATGAATAGAAACACCTGGACATAATTAAACATATAACTCGTGACTCTCCATTGGAGATGACCAATAGCACAGGAGGGACTCCACGGTAAGCCTCCTAGTTGCACTAAGCATTGAGATGAAAAATCTGCAACCATCGATCTTATACTCCTCGAGTGGATTTCTGTGCCCAAAACTCCTTACATTCACCTGTTCCAGAAACCCAGAGGGAGAATCAATATACGACTTCCAATCAAAGGAAAGCATAGTTTTTCAAACAGATAGGCAAATACCATACCGCTGAACTTAGTCGGTTCATGTTTATAAGATGATCCCTCCAGAAGCAATCCAATGTTTTCAGAAGTACTGCCCTCTAAATCCAAATAACATAAGGAATCAATTAAGAAAATAAGATTCTTTTTGAACTTAATGCATATGCACAAACTACACACCCAAACCCTCTATCATAATCTAATCCTATATGAAAGGTAATTATTATGCAATAAAAGATGGCATAAAATGATATCATAACCTAGTAAAAAGCAAAAGGATTTCAGGTCACTGGTATGGTCTTATTTAAATTTTAAACATTGAAAGGATTTAAATATCACCAACACCAAAGTTTGCTTCCTTTTTCCTCTTTTTCCCGATGATGACCGAGAAATCCCAGCGGGCTAGTGGAGCAAGGTTCAAAATTCGGTGGATAGTGGGGCCACCCCTTACCCTTCTCTACTTAAATACCAGGCAAAGCCTCCGGTAGGGTTCGAACCTGTGACGTGCGCTAAAACCACACATCACGGGTTGCACTCTTACCACTAGCCCTGGGGGCATTCCTTTTTCCTCTTTCTTTTAATGAAAAAGAACATACAATTGGATAATGACAAATCTGGCGTGCAAACTTGATATGATGGCATACCAATGATGAGGAATGCGCTTAGTAGCATGAGCAAATTGAAGAAAAACGATTACCTCTATTTCCTTCACGTACACAGCATCATATCCAGATTCTTGTATTACATCTAAATAGCTGGCAATGAGGAAATCTCCCAGGTACTTTCGAAGGAAATTAACCATCTCTCTGTACTTCCCATACCTAGCACAGAAATCAGACATATATAATTAGAAGATTGAAATAAAGAAGTTTAAATCATTGAACTCATTGATGTAGATTGTCCATACTTCATTGAGTCATCGGAGCATATAGCCAACCAGCGTCTGAAAGAAGAGGTCTTTCCACGTACACCTCTAAAAGAATTTGGAGTTGAAGGCAAATTTGGAAGGGAAAAGTTGTCAATGGATACTGATTTCACCTTCTGAAGTTGTACAAGAGAATCTACTAATGCTTCCTCAGTAATCCCAGCAAATGAATCTACACATAATTTCACTGTCAACTTTATGATGCAAACTTGCAAAATTCATTACTGGTTATACCATAATCCACTCTTACCATTCAATATCTCGCCTGCTACGTCTTTGAACTCCTTTAAGATTTTGTCCAAGCACCAGTTACTTGGGTGCTATGACATTTAGCAAAATAACATCAGTGAGAAAAAGAAAAACAATGCAACGCATCATAAAACTTGTCTACTTCAGAGAAGAAATCTAGCTACCTTTTGCGGATTAACATTCTTAAAGATAACATCATCCACCACTGCTTGCATGTATCTACATAGAATTGTAATGGTGGTGAGAAAATCTTGATCCTCGAAAGTATATGGGCTTAGCTGAAAAAACTTAATCCAGAACAACATGTGCACATGCAAAGAAATGAGTTTGCATCATGAATAAAACGATCTCTTATTAAAAGCCAAGTACACTGGTCACAGTGGACTAACAGAGGGATATAGGCTAGAACATATGATGTTTTCAACCGCTTCACCGTGTACAGATCCCAGAAATAATGGTCAAAAAATAAACCCACAGTATAAACCCACATTATAAAGACAAACTGCCAGAACCATCTGAAGCAGGATCCGAGACTGATTTTACTGGGACCTTTTGAACCAATCAAAGTAGTCGATGCATCATATTCACATAAATAATGTTTCAAGATACTGAGGAATTTCACCTCAAAATAGCAGAGTACATTTGGATAGTATATTGCATACACCAAGTTAAACATGGAATTAAAAGTCAAAAATGACTGAGGGAAGAGGATTTCGTTTTATTACGTGGCTTTTCACTTTGTAAAAGAATTATAACTAAAATTAGTTTTGGATAACCAACTCTGAAAGGACAAGTGATTAAAATCCCTGAGCAATATCAAAGAGCATTTATCCTTCAGATGAGAGTGAAATTGTTACCAGCATAAAGTAGTTATGATGCACAGGAAAGCAGGGTGGGCCATGCTGGATCCCATGACCAATATCTAACTTACTTTGCAGGTCACTTAAGGAAAATATTGTGCTTGATTATATAACAGAATTAATCAGAAAAGAGATGAGAGGAATCTAGAATATTGGGGAAAAAGAAACCAGAAAACAAAATATTAGAAAGGAGAAAAAAGAGCTCCTGAAGATAGAAATTTTGAAGTTACTTTAGATTTTTATAAAGTATTTATTCAACAATATCTTCAGCGATAAACGAACTGACGCAAGGTAAAAAAAATAGAATATTAAAATAAATAAGAAGAGAAAAAGGGGAATAAATAACTAATCACATCTCTGTCCACATTTACATTGTATTATTTCAGTTTTCAGCAAGGCCGAATACAAGGGAGCAAGAGGTGCCCTGGCTCAAACAAATTTCCCAAGTATTTATTTTGGAACAAATCGTTCACTGCTGGGGAAGCCACGTAATGTTAACTGATGACAGAAACGCGGGTTAAATACTGTAAATTGGTTCAAAAACATCTCCGCTGGTTCAAATCCCGCTCGGCCCAATAATTTCCCAGTCTGCCGTGAGATGATATAACTTATTTGAGCTTCAAAAATACCCGGTTCGCAAAAGTAAACAGCAAACTAACCAAAATACCAAGGAAAAAAAAAAGATAAAACTGACAAAAAGCATCTTAATGACTTCATTCTGCAACCACAACATCTCAAGGAGTGTTATAGCATCATTGGTCAAATCATAAGATGCACTAGCATGAAAGTTTTAACGTGTAAAAAGATTGAAAAGAGTACAAGCTTCAAAAAGTCACATTATTGTTTTTCAAATAACTCTTTAACAAGATAGGGAAGATGACACGACAGATTGGCTACTTCCTCAAATTTCATGCAAATTCTGTCTTAACTCTTCCTTTTTCTCAAGACAGAATTTTAATAATTTTGTGCTGAGTAGAGTTGGGTCCATGAATCTAATATCCCATACTAAGCTTTAGGATCGTCAAATCACCGAGCCCACAAAATATCTGGCTGAGAAAGTCGGGCTATGAAATATATAAAAGAAAAAATGCTGCTAGTTGTACCCTGTTCCATACCTTCACTGAAGGGTATAAGTCATTGTGCAACACAAGTCTCTTATCAGCATCAAACAGGTCATGCTTTTATTTTACTTCAAATTCTAGCATAAAGTATTGATCCTTGATTTCCTAGAGATACTATCTAACTTATAAGACGAGGAATATCTTCACAACATTTGCTATACTTCTGCTGGTTCGCATTAACTAAAAAGACTTCATCTTGTTATTTGCTTATCAGCATTTTACAAAAGTATACTCCCTCTGTCACATAGTATCAGAAAAAAATGCCACATAGTATGCTGACTTGGTCAAAGCTATTTTGAATTTTGTAATGTCTCATAACAAAATGACAAAGTAATAAAATACATTAGAAGTAATTTTCTCCCTTCTAATTTGATAGACCTGGATCCGAGAAGAAAATCAGAGGAAGAGTTAAAAATCTCAAAAATGAGAAAACATGTGAAGCCATATGTTGACTTTTGCAATTTAGGATGATAAAATAGATACTGAAGTTGTAGTGCAGTGCAGAAAGTACTCTTTGTGTAACATTTTATTGCAGAGAAATGTGTTAAATTATTTATTTTGGAAAGAGGATATCATTTTAGAGCACAGAAAAAGATAACGCAAAACCTCTTTTGGATGGAGGGAGTATATTATCCGAGTCTTATAACTTTCCAATTACAGCATACTGTGTGGAGCAAAAGATTCGTGACGTTTCAAAAAGAAACTGACAAAAATAATGGGATGGTATTCTAAATATGAAAACTCAGATACTTTTCATGACTGCAGATAGATGAGTTCGAACACAGATATTGATTCCGGCATTCAAATGACTGAGAATCAAGGGGCTCACTTGAAAATGTGCTCTGAACAACTCTCAAAATCTCCAGTTAAAATTAATTGCCGAAGATCGTAAACATGCTTTCTTTGAACCTGCGAAGGAGAAAAAGTAAAGCATATAATACAGCAAGAACGTGATCACGCAAAATCATTATTAAAAAATGAATTAGTAGACTTAATAGTAAAATGCACATATTCTTGAGTCAAAAGTAGGGGACAATATCCTAAAACGAGAAACGAAGACATCAAAACAGCAGAAGCTGAATCAGTACATGAGCTACATACCTCAAGGACTTCATCGAATTCTACTAGGCTCTTTCGTATTCCAAAAAAGTATTTCTCAGCATTGATTTGTAAACCCAAAAGCTGACAGTAAAGTAATGTTCCAACAATCATCGTTAGAAGCATGTCAGAGAAAGAAAAAAGAAGGAAGATATATCTTTGAAAAACAGAAATAACACTGAAACCAAACATATCAAAGCCACACTTATCCATATAAAGAACAAAACGGGAAAGACCCCAGCATACTAAATTACAGAGACAGAAACAAAGCAAACAGAGATTATTCAGCACCTGTTTAACTATTCCATGACCTTCTATTGGGATATCTTCATCATTTGTAATCCTGGATATAAGTTTCACTGCCCACTCAGTGTCAAAGTTAAATTTTTGAAACATCTCATCCTGCAAGCTGTAATAAATAAAAGTAGCTAGGATCAGCAATGGCATTTAAAGGATAACAGGTTAGTCACAGAATGTAGTAATCTTTTCACGAAAAGCTGAAATACACTTTTCAAACTTATACAAGAATTTTGATATTTCACCAAAACCAAGAATATTTTCAGCACACTAGAGGCGAGTAACGCCAAGAGTACAATTTAGAGTTTAGATAACTGCAGAAAAATATAATGCACATACACCATGTGCAATATGGAGAACTTTACCCTGAATTAGGAATCAAGAACACTGTGAAGGAGCTTTGCCTTTTTTACCTAAATTAATAAAGGCATAGAAAATTATGCTATTTTGGTGTTCTTTTATATGCAATAGTGCTTATAACTCACATAGCTGAACCAGCAACTGTTTATTTCAGAAACATACATATAGACATGTGTATGTACACGCGTGCGCACGCGCACACACATATATGTAAGTATCTTCTTACAAACAGAACAAAGATATAGTTAAGTTCTTCTTCTTCTTTTTTTATAAGGAAATCAGAAAGGATGGTTAAGTTATATTTTCTTCACGATCAAAGTATTGCAGAGGAAGGATTAAACTTAAATCTAGCATCTTACCTCACCATAAATCGTGTTGATCCAGGATCACCCTGCCTGCCAGCTCTACCACGAAGCTACAAGGCACAACTTATAGATCAATACCCAAAAGTTAAATCACAGAAACGAATTTGAAGAACATGCCATTATGAGTTGCATCACCCATTTTTACATTAAGCTGGTTCTACAGGTAATGATCCAAAAAGATAGAAATAAGTTCCTGGATGTCTACAGTAAAAGTTAGCTATTATGAAAGTTCAAGGTGGTACGAAACAAAATAAACTAAGAAAGTTTTCCCAACTTCACCAGCTAAATAAGGTGCAGTACTGCAGTAGAATACTTGCTAGACAAGGTATGAATTGTTTGACAGTGCATTTGTGCACATTAAGACAACTTTAAACTAGAAAGCTCCAGTACCAAATTCTAAGGTGCATATCATGCTGTAGTGGCATCAGTTACATAATTATCAAGGAGACAAAAGAAGACCGAATGAAGCAAGTAACACAATAGGGAGCTTTGTTTTGTAGGCAGACTACAGACATAGAATCAAATATTAAGCACCTACTGACCTTGGTGAATGACGGGCTTAACACCCCAAACAATATACTGTAGAAGTACTATATTTAGAAGGAAAGGAAGAGTCAAGCTCCCTCCCCTCTCCCCCCCTTCTCCCTCCCTCCAAAAAGGTCATAAAATTGCCCACTTCCAACACATGCGGAATTAACAAGACCATGAAAGACACAAAAAGTCTCTATGGAACTCGCACAGTAACTACAACGATAAGATTAGGCGGTCAAGCAAAATAACTGCTATACTCATAAGAATACGAAGTTGTCTAAGCATTCTTTCATTTTTCTGCAACATGAATAAGCATTTCAAGAGGCCAAAGGTTTACATTATTTTATTCTTATACTTTCTTGATACAAGTGTCAATTCAGTTTTTCCTCTTTGAAAGTCCTACAAAATTAAGAGCCCGTTTGGATTGGCTTAAAAAAAGTAGCTTTTCAACAGAAATAGCTTTTAAGCCAAAACGCAGTAAGTTGGGGTTGCCCAACTTATTGCTTTTAGCTTGTTTTAAGTAGTTTTTAACTTATTTTAAGCACTTTTTGACTTTGCCAAACACTGAAAAAAGCTAAAAGGAGCTTAAAAGCTTATTTGACCAGCCTAAAAGCCAATCCAAACACCCTCTAAAACTTACCTGGTTATCAATTCTCCTGGACTCATGCAGAGAAGTTCCAATGACGTGAAGACCCCCCAGCCTTTTCACTTCTAACCCTTCATTCAAACAGTGAGACACGCAGTCCTCAAGAACTGATACATAAGTTAGAGCAATGGATGGACCAAGAGGATAAAATTCTGACTGCTCATCAGCCTGCTTCTGTAGCTCTTTTATCTCCACTGACTGACTTAGCTCAATGGATTCAGATATCATTGACTTTGCCTCTTGATATGACCATTTCTTGCTCTCATTTTTGCTAACGTACTTAGCTATATAACCAATACAACAAACAGAAATCCACAAAGAGAAAGTAATCAGATAAAAAATGTCACTACATCAATATCAAGATGCTAAAGCTATAATCCACAGGGAGCTATCAGTTAAACTGATTTAGACTTGAGATTCTAGTTGATTAAAATTACTAACCCATCAGAGCCGCTTTAGCCAGCAAAGCCAATGATGACGGTCCAACTTTTATCTTTGACATAACCTACAAACGGAAATACTATCAGCAGAGGGGGAGACCAGTACTTGCTTCTCTATCTAATTGGGACAGAGTGCCAAAAGAACCTTTTGAGAATTGGATTCTCCATCAACATCAACTTCAGGAACATCTTGTGTCAGAAATGGAAGTATGCTATCCTCCAAAATTTCGTTCGCAAGCATCTTTATCATGTAAAAGCCATGAAAGTCATTCCAAATGCTAGGGCCTTAATATTAATGAGTAAAATGTTAAAGCACATGGATGTTAACTTGCCTTTGGATTCCCTCCCAGGATTATATCAGTACCCCTTCCTGCCATGTTAGTAGATATGGTGATTGCATATTTTCTCCCTGCTTGTGCAACAATATCAGCCTCCTTAGCAGCATACTGCAAGAATCACGAAAATATCAATCAAAAGCCAGCAAAATAAAATCACATGTAAAGATGTGGAAGCAGGATAATACCAAACCAAACTGAAATTTTGAGTTAAAGTAGAGCTCAAGAGTTCTGTACAAACCTTGGGACGAGCATTGAGGACATTGTGTGGAATTTTTCTTTCCTTCAGCAAGTCAGACAAGTATTCAGAATTTTCAACACTGCATTAGAATTAATATTAGTCAAAATATTGCATTAGAGACATTAGTTGTCAGCAAAGGTAATGTGAACAGAAATGAAATTCAAATTTAGATGGCTAACGGAGACCTAACAAATACAAAACTTTTTACAGTCCTACAGCATTCCAGTTCAGAGAAATTTCATAGGCTACTAGAGAGAGATCCGCAAGCAGTCATATCTTAAATCGACAACAACAACAACAATAATCCTAGTGTAATCCCACAAGTGGGGTATGGGGAGGGTAGTGTGTACAGAGACCTTACCCCTTGTGAAAGTAGAGAGGCCGTTTCTGAGGGACCCTCGACGCAAGCAGTCATATCTTGAAATTAAAATTAAGCAGATACTAGTTTCTCTAGAAAGATGATGGCATATACGTGTCAAAAAGAACTAACAGGTGAAGTTAATAACACCATTATTGCTTAATATCAGAACTTGTCGAGTAAACATCATTTGTAGTACCTGGTACGGAAACAGACAGACCTGAGAGAGTATGCTGCTTTTTAGCAAATTTAACAGAAGAATTTTCACCAACAAAAACTTACTATATATA